TGCCAGACTTGATGTAGGGCTCTTAATACTTAGACGAGGGTTTTGGGCTCCTTTATAGTAAAAAACCCCACTCTATCTATCTATCTATATATATATATATGTATATATATATATATATAGGTAATTATTTAGGCCCCTATAGTAAGCACCATAAGCATCGTGGCCGTGCCTCGGCCTCCTGGCGTGGGCCGTCCAGGGCCTGTCAAAGTAAGGTGCTACTTGAAGGAGGACAGGGTGTGGGGCTTCCTGAGGCCTGGGGTTTATGGGCTGTGGTTCGTTTATGTTTCTTTAGTAAGGCTTTCGGGTGATTCTGAAAGTTGGCTCTGGATTAAGACCGTTTGCCTGGGAGCCTGGGCCAAGAACGGTACCCTGCTAGATACCTGACCCTAGACTTTTTGTAGGATGCTGAACTTCGGAGGTCAGGTCAGGGACGGAAGGCGACAAAGCCTTCGGCTCTAGGTTGGTTCGGAAATCTCATCGGACCTTGACTGAATTCCCGTGTGAAATTTATTGTTTACTGGTCTCAGCTTCCGGAAAACCCTGATCTTTGTACATGTTCGGGACCAGGGCTGGGGAACTACGCTGCGAGGGTGTTTGGACATGTTTGTGCTCTGGCATAAAGGTGCTACCTGCTACCACCCTCTTCGGCGAGTTGTATGAAAAGCTCTGGCTACAACGACAGAGTGGTATATTCTGTCAGCTGTCATGACTCTAGAGTACGCCCACGACAGTACTCGGAAACAAGCGCAAACCTTCACGGTGAGGGGCTACGGGGTTTCTCCGCGAAGCCTACACACTCCGACGTTCGTGGGCAAAGACTAAATGAGTCAGAGCTTGGTTGCCCTTACACGCTAATGAGCATAAACCCTGAAGGCCCTAAACCGGAACCATAAACCGCGAACCCTACACAAGCCAATCGCCCAACCCGAAACCCTCAATTTTTTGCTAATGCTCGTCACCTCCTTCTCACGCTCCGCGACACGCAGACGGTTGAGCTTCTCCTCTGAGCTCAGGGCTTAGGGCTTCCGAATCATGGTTTCCACCTACCCTTAGGGTTCATGTGCCCATATGGTTTATTATATGCTTCGGCTTCAAGTAGTCCCTTTATAGGTAGTTTGGGGTCAACTTATATACTCTTTGGGTACATGGACGCTTGGGGCTAGAGATCATTGGCCTCAGACCGCAAAGTCCCCGATCTTTCTCAGCCCGATCGGACCATGAACCGAAGAATCCGCAAGACCGGCACCTGAGGATAGCCTTCTTGGAGGTTCATGGGACTTAATAAGTACAGTTATAACTACCCTAATTGGGGTTATGTTATAAGTATAGTTACCTTATTTATAACCCTAATTACTAAGTCCCATGAACCTTTAAGCTCAGCTCGCAAAACTAAAACATATGCATCCTTCAGCTCTTCAAACCGAAACCTAAAGCCCCCCCCCCCCCCCCCCC